ATATATATATATATATACATTCGTAACAAATAATTAATTTATAGTTACCGTATGGAACAAGCAATAATAATCAAAGAAAAAAATTAGCACAAAAAACAAAATTATGTTTCAAAAAGGAATAACTTATGCTATCGACATCCATCGCAAAGCTGTAAAGTTGGTATATATAATATATGCTGTATACGATCGTATAGTATTTGTAAAAATATTTTTTTCAAGATATGTCGAATTTTTATTATCGACTTTTGAAGGATCATTCATTTTATTAGTACTGTTCGGTGTGTTTTCTTTAAGTGTCAATCTTTTCGCAGTAAGTTTCATGTTTTTAAATATGTTATTAAAATGTTATAGAATTATATGATATTAATCAAAATCAGTGATAATTAGTTAATCTTTAATTAACTAGAAATTTTCAGTAAAAGATGGTAATGTTTTGTGTGTTATTTACTTGCAATTTTATAATAATATGGTATAAAATGAATAATTGTTAAATATATATAAATTTATAACAACTATATTATTATTTTAGATTTTTTGGGCTATTTCGAATGGAAACAAGGAGGAATGCAGTTTTTATTTTGTTTTCGTGTCTGGTATTCTTGCATACATGTTTCTAGCATCTTATCTCGCACAAGAAATTTTGGATCATAATAGTAACGTTTATGCTACCGCGTAAGAGACTGTTTCATACAATAAATTATATAATTGCATTCCATTAATTGTATTGTATGTATAAATTAGTTAATAATAAAATATATAATTATGAATTACTATAAATATTGAGCTAAATATAAATATAATCAGTATATTTTGCATTTACTTTATAAATTTGTTACGGAAGGAAAGAGAAAGGCCTTATATGTCTTGATGTCGTCACGAGCATTTCTTTCAAAATTGTATTGTAATTTACGAGTTACTATCATATCATATATCATTATAAAGTAATATAATTGTAATATAATTGTAACGTTTCATGAAACGTTGATATTACTAATAGTTTATGATTTACTCGTAACTCGTAAATAACAATATAATTTTGAGAGAAAGATTAATTTATGGACCAAAAACGAATGTATTTCTCGATGTCTTAGTTCCTGATAATCTTAATTTTGTATAGACGAATATATACATTTGTAATATAAGAACAATATTTTAAAAAATGTAGAGAAACACAGCAATCTGTTTCTCTTCCTCTTTCTTTCTTTATGTAATTGTATTGGTGATTATCAAAAGAAAATTTATATCATATAAGCGACAATTGTTTTATTGATTAAAATAATCATTATTTTCCAGGTATAATATTCAGTGGTATGTAACATCCGTACAAACGCAAAAATTAATACTTTTTATACTACAAAAGGGTAATAAAGTCTTCACTTTAAAAATCGGTAAATTATTTCACGGATCATTAGAAAGTTTTGGCACGGTAATAATCACAAGACATCATAAATTAAAATAATTACAACTCAAAGCTCCTGAATGAATATAAAAGACTTATTTCATTACAGTTAATAAAAGTATCGATGTCATATGTTACTTTTATGTATTCTATACAACAGTGAAAACAATATTATCTAATTTAAATCATAATAATTGGCTATATGAGGTAATTTCCTCGTTCTAATAATTTAAAAAATATTGTAATTATGTAATTTAAACAAAGCTTGCACAAATTAAATAATATATTAATATCATCAATTTCACTTTTACTATTGAAATTAACATTTGCATTTAATATAAAATAAAATATTAATATTTATTTAAAATAGAATCAACGAATTTATATTACAAGAGAAATAATAAATTAATATTTACAATCAAAAATATAAATCTATGTTCTATATCCATAATATTTTACAATTTAGTACCTTCTATATTTCCGATCATTATTTTATAGGTAATTTATATTAATTCCTAGATTAATTGGACCGACATTCTTCTAAAAGATATAATGTATTCTACAAACACAAAAATGAAATCCACATCGCATGGAAAGGAGTGGGTTGCGCTTATATAAATTTTGATAAAGAAATTATATTATGAATGTATTTACTGTGAAAAATAAACATTTTCTCAATTTTGTTCGACATTAAATCGATTAATCTTTTGCCAGCAAAATTTTCATAATTCATAGGAGATTACTGTATTTAACTGTGGAAATTTAACATTTAACATTTTACATTATTTTACATTCTATATTATACTTCATCCAAATGTTCACAATCAAGTCGACAAGTGAAAAGGATGTTTGCCATGAAGAATTCAATTAAATTAAATTAGTTTCATCTATAATTGAAAAGCAAGATCAATCATTTTCTATAAACAGATTGTATGTTTTGTATAATTTATAATTAGAAATTTCCTATATTGGTTTTTCAGAAGCATTTTCAGTTTTTGGTATTCACGTTTTCTTCCTCAATCAATCTTCCTCAATCAACCTCAATTGATAATCTAATTTATTCATTGAAAAAAAAATCAAACAACTATTTTATGCTCGTAACAGCAAGACGTTACATTTTTACTGAGCAATAATAATATTCCGAATAATTGGTAAGTTGATAGATTTAGATTATTTACTATTAGTCGAGTCTTTGAAAAAGAGATCTATACTTCAACGAAATCTGATTTCGTACAACATCTCTATTGAAAAATTTTGAGTCTAACTGAGCCAATATAGATTTTAATCCTATAATTGTTAGTTACCATGATAACGAGATATTACTTCCATATTAATTATTGCTGCAGATATCTGTAAACTGTCAACTTCAGTAGATGCAACATTGCGACTATCAATTTAACGAATGCAAGCCAGCCTCAACCACTTTGACAGAAAATCGTTCATCGTTTTAAACAAATTTTAAGAAAACCTCGTCTATACTATAAAGAAGGTTTCATTATCATCAACGCTAACAATTCATTCTGAACAGTAAAAGAATATTCAATTATGTATACTAAAATTTTCGCGGAATATTTAAACATTAAGCGCAATTTTTATTTTTAAAACTTTGATGATTATAATTGTTGACTCAGAAAGCTTCGAACTTTTAATCATTGATTTCTTTTATATTACACAATAGTTCTTTCTGAAATTCAATTCAAACTCAAATCAAATTTATTAATATATACATATCATATCAGTCATACTAATATGCCAATATATTCCAATATAAAAATCATATAAATATTTTTTATACATAATCAATTCGTAAATAACACGTTTACGCAAAATAATACAACAGTAATCATGTATTTTTTGTATATATTTCATAGGCTACTTTATTGCATAAAAAATTGCAGATAACAATAATGAATAATACTTGCCACAGTGTAAGAAAAAGTATATATACGTATGTATATGTAATTTGTGTATATATATATATATATATATATATATATATATATAAATAAATA